TTCCTCTGCTGTGCCACTGCGGTGACAGGTGCTGTTCACAGCGGACTGGGCATCATTGGTTTGAACTTCGTCCCCATGGTGGTGGCTTCACTCGCTCTCATGGCGTTCATGGTTGCCCTTGCATCCTTCGCGATCTTCATGCTTCGCAGTCATTGTAACCTACGTGTTGCTTGGTTTCGACAACAGCCGTCGCGCCCGTTGTTCTCGCGCCGCCTTTTGTTTTACTTGCTCTCATAGCGTCGTTGATATAATGTCGTTCTTGCCACCTTTCATTCCGCTTACAATTTTCGCGACGTGGTGTGACCCGCTTTCGACAATGGTCTCGGCACCGTTCATTTCAAGTCGTGTCCGTGCGATCACCTGCTGTCGTGAATTCATGGCTTACCTTACAATCTAGTCACGTTTGATTCCACTTTCGTGCTTCGCGACCATCGCATCACTTTGTTCCAACAATCTTTTTGGCGCCGTTCATGGAATTTCGCGCAAATTGTTTCACTAGCCCTCATATCGTCTTTGTTTCACTTGCATTCTTGCCGCTCTTCGTTTCACTTCCGTTCTTCGCGACCTTCGTGTTGTCCACGTTCGACAAAGGTCTTGGCGCCCTCTTTGTCAACTTGTCATCCGTGAGGTCGCCTGTTCTCTACAATTCCTTGCTATGCCTTGCGTTGTTGTCCTCTTTGGGTTCACTTGTCTTCTTGGTGCCCTTCCCATCGCTTGCATTAAACAATCGTCTTGGCGGCCTTGTGCAGATGTTTGCGCCGATTGTTTCACTTTCTCTCTTGTCGTCCTTGGATAAATTCACTCTCTCCGGTGACATCCTTGCTTCCTGGTGCATTTATGGCGTCATTTGGTTCCTTTACAATCGCGGCGACCCCTGTGATACGTGGTTTCGACGTTTGTTTCACTTGCTCTCATCGCGCCTTCGGTTTCGCTTGCACTCTTCGCGGCGTTGGCTTCAATATGACCTTCGCGATCTCGTGCCACCTTGGTTTTGAAGTTGGTCTTGGCACCCTGGTTTATGCTGGCGCCAGGTGACACGAAGGTCGAGTACAATATTGAAACCAAAGGCGTGGCGGATGGGAGTATGCAAACGCTCGCAAAGAGACCAAGGAAAACAAACGTTTTCGACAGTGGTCTTGGCATTTTTGGTTGCAACTTCGCGTCCGTGGTTTCATTCATTCTCCGGTCATCCTTGGTTGCAGTCCTTGGCTGCAGTTGCATTTTTCGTGGCGGTGGGTTCGATGCAAGTCCTAGAAAACTTCGTGTCACCTGCTTTCGATAACAATGGTGGCGCTCTTGGTTTGAATTTGGGCACCTTGGTTCACTTGATCTGTTGGTGTCCTTGGGTTTACTTCAATTTTTGGAGCCTTTGATGTTAGCATTTTATTCGATGTGTCACCTGCTTTCGACAATTAATTGTATTTGCACCACTTGTTTTTACCTGGCGCCATCTATTTCACTTGCTGTCTTGGCATCTGTGATTTCGCTTGCAATCTCCAGGGTTTCACATGCATTTTTGTCGACCTCTGTATCGCCCGCGGCGTTCAGCAACGGTCGTGAGGCCCTGCGTTCGTTTTGGCCCCGTTTGGTTCACTTTCCCTCTAGTGGATATGAGTCTTTCACTTGCTCTCTGGGCAATTTCTGTTTCAACTGCTTTCGACAAAGGGCTTCATGTACTTGGTTCAAACTTGGCGCGGAATTACCACTCGATCTATCGCCTGGCGCCCTTGGTTTCACTTCCCCTTTCGGCATTCGATACTTCACTTGCAATAATTGCGGCCTTGGAATATGTTTTGGACAGTGGTCTTGATGCCGTTTACGAAACGTTTAGAGCCGAAGGTTGCACTTGCTGTGTTGACGTCCTAGGTTTGATAGTCATTCTTCGCAACCTCCATGTCACCTGCGTTTCGCAAATTCGGTTTGAACTTGGCGCCTTTTGTTTCACTTGCTCTCGGCATCCTTCTTGTACATGCTCTATTGGCACCCTTCGTTTCACGGGCAATCTGGACACCCCTTGGTTCAATTGCATATTTGACGCTCTTGGTTTTCAACTCCTCGCTTCGCAACCTTCGTGGCACCTTCTTTAAGTAATGGTATTGGCGCCCTTGGGTTCCGTTTGGCACCGTTGGCTTCGCTCCCTTTTTCGGTGGCTCTAGCTGCACTTTCATTTTTCGTGACCTGGTGTCGTCTGCTTTCGACAGTGAATTTGGCCCCCTTGATATCTAGTACTTCTCGTTTCATTTGGTCTCTTGGCGTCCTTGGACAAGTACTTGCCATTTCCGCGACCTTCGTGATACATACCTGCTTTCGACAAGGGCCTTGGTGCCCTTGGTTTCAAGTTGGTGCCGTATGTTTCCCTTGCTCTATTAGCGTCCTTGGATACTTGCATTCTTCGTGACCTTGGTATCACTTGCTTTCGACAAATGAGAGTAACGCAGCAAGGATGCTACATGGCAATGCATATTCTACAGTATATTTTCCTTTGCAAGTGTACTTCAAGACCCGGGACTGGACTCTGTAGTCCAACCTCTTCCATGCTCCTCTTGCCAGGGGAGCGCGGTGACAACACGGGCTGTCCGCAAATTTTATTCCGCCAATAGACCGACACTTCACTGATTTTGTTTCGAAATGCGTATATTGCTTTGCGGCTAAACCCCGAGGGAAGCGAGCGATTCCAACCCGGCAGGTACACATTTCCCTAGACACCAATCAATCTGCGCTCTTTGTATCGGGCCTGCATCTCTTTGCCCATCTGTATTGTCTCTCTCTCTTCCCCCCAAAACAAGCGAGCGTTCTTTTTCTGCACGCAATAGTCTCAAATGATAAAGTCCCGACAACCATTCACTACTTTCTTCGTCTTCTCATTTTCCCCCCACCTTCGAAAAAATGGCGCGGATGGGTGGTTGGGTGGGAAAAGATTCAAATGTTAGCTGCTGAGGTTGGCAAACCTCAGTTGAAGCCTATTTATTGTGTCTTTCTCGCGAGCTGTTCATCTGTGAGCAATTATTGTCTCTGGCACGCACACATTCACTGTGTGAACAGAAAACTTGAATAGAATGGTAAAATCATGCAGGCCCTTGTCTCGTTTGCGAGCCAATATGGATGGCATGGCAGTTCGAGGTGTATCAATAAACCCCGTTTGTTTGTCGTGTACGTCTCCTGTGTCCGCGCCATAAAACCAAGTTTGTTGTCGATCACGGAATAAACTGTCGCTTGTTGAAACCGAAAGAGTTGAAAGCATCATTGCTGGACCTGGGGACTGGGATACGTAGATTAGAGTTCGCGTGCCCCCCACCAAAAGTTCGGATTCCACAGGAAAGCACACGTACACCGGTGTCGTAGGTGGTACTGCTTGTGAGCGCGAGAGAGGATCATCGGAGTACGTGGGCACGGCGAAGGATTGAGGCACGGCCACATAGAAGAGGTGGCAAAGAAAGCGGTGTCTTTTTCCCGTCCACGCATCCCTTTTCTTTTGAAGGTGGGGGAACGGAAACGGGCACGAAGCCCTCATTTCCTTCGGTGAGGTTTCTAGAGTTTCTTAAGTTGTACTTGAAGTTGAATGGTCGAGAACCATTTGGGGACTTCGTCACTCCAGACCCCTGCGTGCAGAAGCAATATCAGGTTTCCCCCTCGGCAGGATTGAACTGACTTGCCTGCGGAGAGAGAGAAACAGACAGTATGTGAAGGGGAATCAGGCGCGAGGATGTGTGTTCCAGCGCCGGTTCCAAACTCTATCCGTGGCGATCTAGAAACCGGTAATGATGAAGCCATTCGAAAGAAATCGACAGACCTGCACTGTATTGTTTATTCTCTTCGAAAGATTCGCGTTTGTTGTTGATCTTCTTCCAAGACCTGTGCGAAAGGAAAGAGGTACCGGCCTTGCAGAGAGCACTTTTCCCTCAGACCCGTTTCTACCCCTTGTCTATTGTGCGCCTCCCTCTCTCCCCATTATAATCTCTCTCCCTCTTTTTCCTCCAAACAGCAACCGAGGTTTCTGTCTCCTCCGGTCAAGGGAAAGAGTAATCATCCACGAGATGACCAAGTCCCTAAACAATGGTACCCTCCAATTTCTTCGCCAACTCCGCGGTCACCATGGCACTACTTATCCACTAGAATTGGTTTTTGTTTATGACTACCACACCGTTCCTTCCCCAGATTACCCCCCGACTCCATCACTTCGTAACGAATTGTTTCATTAATCCTCGGCATGTTTTGTGTCTACAGAATTTACATGTAGCCTTGATTTCCTGCCGTTCGTAATTGGTCCGCCGGCTGGCGCTGTCGTTACTGCTGAAACATAAACTACGCGGGGTGCAGCAAGTCCGTGTTGGGCGTCTCTTGGGGCAGTGGGTAGTCGGCCGTGTTAGGCCGAGAGAGAGAAGTAGAGATAGTGATGGCGTTGGCGCTGGAGAAAGCGTTGGAGAAGGAAACTTGATTGGAGAGAGACGGCGGTAGCGGTGGAGAGAGCGAAAGCAGTGGGCTACATGCGCGAGCCTTCAACACCGCAACCAAGGCCAAAAGGGTTCCCGTATCTGCATCGGTGGTACCCATCAACATCCGAAAACCCCAACACGTATCCCCCAGGATCCTCACGTCTAGAGACTACTGAGGGTATATCTAACATCCCCCCTGCTCGCAACAGTATCTTCACTGCAAATTTCGAAATAGTACCGGATATCTCAACCAAAAGACGTCTTTTCCTGAACATATGCCATCAAGATTAATTCCAAAATATATGAAACGAAAACGAAGTCCAAGAAACATGAATACTGCTGCATCGCGCGTGATATAAACTCAGCGCGGAAAGCAAAACAATCAAATCGAAAGCCAAACCAAACTCATTAGAAAAATAATGAACACTCATGCCAAATTCATCACAAAATCAGGGTGAGACTCGAACGTATCCTTGGGCAAACTCTTAGTAAGAAAGTCTGCGCGCTGGTACGGAGACGGCACGTGGATCACCGAAATCTCCTTCCTCTCCACCAATTCCCTGAGAAAATGGTGCCTTACATCAATGTGCTTCGAGTTTTAGTTCGAGATGGGGTTCTGCGCTAGTTGAATCGCCCCCTGGTTGTCCTCAGAGACTGGGATGCACGGCATGTTGACCTTCGGCAACATTATTCGCCAAACCTGCCTCAAAAACAAAATCTCCTTCACTACATCGCCAAGCGCGACATACTCTGCTTCTGTTGTCGAAAGCGTAACGCACTTCTGCGTTCTGGAAAACCAAGACACAACGCCTCCTCCGCATGTTACCATCCCCCCTGATACCGACCTACGGTCTGCTGCCTAGCTCGCAAAGTCCGCATCAGCGTACCCCTGCAAACTGAATCCTTCTACCGTACCTCTCCAAAATGAAACACCCATGTAACTTGTCCTCTTCACATAGCCTTTTATACCCATCGCGGCATCCCAGTGCACCTGCTTCGGAGACGCGCAATATCTAGCTACTGCCCTTACTGCATTCGCAATGTCCGGCCTAGTCTGAGTCGCCAGCCACATCAAAGATCCTACTAGCTCACGAAACGGAAAGTCTGTCGCCTCTTCATCCGCATCAAAATCAGAAAGCTTCACCCCCGAAGACATCGGAACGCTCTTACCTCCCACTACTCCATATTCTGCTGCTAGCTCATCCGTGAAAGTCTGCTGAGAATCGTCAACCTACCAGTCTCCTTGTTCCTTTCGTAAAAGCACCCAGAATACAGTTTCAACTCTCCTAGGTTCTTCACTGGCACGGACTTGTTAAGGTCGGCGCCAAACTTGTCACATCTCTCCCTCTCTCCCACAGCAAAAATGTCAGCTACATGTACTACCAAAATCAAAACAACACATCCATCCTCAATCAAACCAAACACACAAGCATCGGCCATGCACTGCTTAAAACCTAACGCCACCAAACACCTCTTCAGCATTGCATGCCACTGCCTAGATGCCTGTCTCAAGCCATACAGACTCTTGCCTAGTTTTACAATCATTCCAGATCGAGCTCCACATCCCTGCGGCAAACGCATGTACATGTCTTCCTCCAACTCCGAACGCACAAACGCTTGCTCAATATCGAAATAACACAAGTCGAGGTTCAACTCGCACGCCAAAGCAGCCAACATCCTAACACACGAAACAGAAACGGTAGGCGCGTACAACTCTCCAAAGTCAATGTACTCTCTCTGCATATCACCTCTCGCTACAAGTCTCGACTTAACCTTAGTGGGCCATCCAAACTCATCTGCCTTCCAATCGAATACCCACTTAGCGTTAATTGCGTTCTCCACTAGTTGCTACTTCGCCGGAGTAAAAGTCCCCGCTTCCAACAAGCCATAAAACTCCCTTTGCATAGAGTCGCTCCAAAGGTGCCGGTGCTCCGACGCCATGGCCTCTTTGTAGCTCTTGGGGACACGAAGGTCGCTGGCCTGGCAATGCGGAAGGTCAGGGCGTTGCTCCGGCGGGCGCTGGTCTCGCAGCGTGGCGTCGATGTCTTCCCGGTTGGCGAGGAGCGTGGCAAATGCGAGTGGAAAGCCCGCTCCTGCAGCCCCCGGGTCCACTGCTGCGAGTGCTCCCGCCTGCTCTCCGGCCCCCGTTCCCCCCGGCTCTCCGGCCTCCGCCCCCCCCAGCTCCCTGCGCTCCTTATCCACCGCGCTCCGAGCCTCCAGCATCGACACCAGAGTGTTCCTGTCTAGCATCGAGATGAGTCCTGTGCTGTGCCTCGTGCCCGATCTCGTACGGCTTGGCAGCCGCGGGTCTGTCATACCCTCGGCCTTTGTACCCGGGCGAAGCTGCCGCATGGCGTGAGCCGTAAGCGGGGGCATCGCGGGGTCCGGCGGCGGCGGCGGCTGGTCTGGATCGGGGGTCGCCGACGGTGACGGCGGAGAGGCAGAGGACGGATTGCCAGGAGCGGGGGTCGCCGACGGTGACGGCGAAGTGGCAGAGGGCGGCTGTGAAGTCGTGGGAGCGGGCGGCGGCGTGGTCGCTGGCGGCGGCGTTGCGGCAGGGGTCGAAGAGGCAGCGGGAGCGGGAGCGGGCGACGGCGTGGGCGCTGGCGGTGGCGGTGTGGCGGTCGAAGGCGTCGGTGCTGGGCCAAAGTTGATCGAGACGACCGGCGGCGTGAACGGGGGGGGTGTCGGCGCAGCGGTGATACCAGCGGAACCCCCCTCGCCGGCTGGCGCCGACGTCACCCACGACACGTTGTTGGTGTAGACGACGCGGCCGGTGGACGCCTTGAGGACCTTGACGGTGCCGCTCGGGTGGTTGTCGCCGCCGTTCAGGTAGTAACAGAGCGTGGCCTGGTCGTCGAGCTTGGTGCGGCGGTCCTCGCGCATGAAGCCGGGCTGGAAGAACGGCAGCACGCGGAACGGCCCCTGCTGACCGGTGAAAAGCTCGTACGGAGAACGACGCCCGGGGTTGGCCTTGGTCGCCGACTGGTTGAGAGCGTCGGCGGCCCACTTCGCCGATTCCATCCAAAGACGGTCACCACGCTCGTCGAGGCCGGGGATGGAGGCGAAGTCGACGTGGAACACACGGCCAGCGCTGCGGCGGGCGGCCATGCCGGCCTTCATGATCCGCCAGATGGCGCTCTCGACGACGCCGTTGTACTGCGGGACGCCGGGCGGGGTGAACTCGACGCCGATGCCGTTGTCGTCGCAGAAGCGCCGGAAATCGCCGCGGGTCCACTCTGTGCCGTTGTCGACGCGGAAACATTCGATTCGTCCGAGGTCGTACCGCCCCACGTCCGCCAGCAGCCTTTTCGTAGCCGCCAGCGCGTCGGACTTCCGCCGGAGACCGTAGACCTTGTTCCACCGCGAGGCGCTGTCCACGGCGACGAACAGGTAGAGGTTGCCGCCCAGGGAAAGCGCCAACGGTCCACACAGGTCCAGGTGAACACGCCCGAGTGGCTTCGATGCCCGCGCTCCCGGCCCCTTCGGCACCGACGCCCTCATGCCCTTCGCCTTCATGCAGTCCGAGCATGGTTCCAACGTTCCCGTGAGAGTGATGCCCCTCTGCCGGGCAGTTTCTCTCAAAAGGGGTTCACAAGCGTGGGCAAGGGAACGGTGGAAGCGGTTGTATCATACCCGTCCATGAGCAGCTCGTCGGTGAACACAATCGTATCTCCTAGATCCATTCCCGGGAAAGTACCCACACAATCATAACCGGACGCCGAAAGAGGTACGACGTCGGTAGAACCGGCGGGCGGGACGCTGTCATGCTCAGGAACTACACTTCCCGTTGGGGAAAGGGGAAGTTGGACCATCAGCGGGGGTGGAATCGGGGGAATTCACAAAAGCAGGCAAAGCAGCAGAGTCTACCACAATCGCAGACGGGTCGTAAGGCATGCGCATTGCATAGGCGGCAGAAACTTTCTCCTCTCTAGCAAACAGCAGTCCGTTACGTAGGGTCATGCCACGCTCGTCGTGGATTATTCGTTGCCGAAGGGAAACAGCATGCGTCGAAAACAAGTTGAAACTCAGACTCTCTACCACAGACACGTCAGTCAGCTTCACATACATCGTCGTTGGCACACCGTTATCCCCCTCCTGGAAAAAGCTGAGGTTGATGCTACCGATTGCTTTCACCTTCAGCAGACGACCATCTCCTACAATGACATACTGCCTATTCGAGGGGATCTCCTGCAAGTCGTACATGTGCAAGTCGCTGTTGGTGAAGCTGCTGCTTGCTCCAGAATCTGCTACCCACTTCTCGCTACCAGGCGGCCCTTCACTCGACTCAACACTCAGCAAAGACGAAGCACTCGAAACAGACTCCACTCCAATCGTCAAACCTATCCTATCATAACAATCATCGGGGTGAGACTTGCCTAGAGGCACAGATTGTGCCGTGCAGAGGTGGAGGTAACCCGAAGATGGAGACACTCCAGGAGAAGGAGTAGAGGACGAGGGGGAAGCGGTGCTGCTGCTGCTCGGGGGGGGCTGACGTGGCTGCTCACTTGAGGACGAATCTTCGCCGGCACGAGGGTAGTAGACGTAGTGGATGCCGCCGTCAGACGTACGGCTGTCTTCATACCCCTCAGAGTAGCTGTAGCTGTCTCCGGTGCCCGATTCGACGTAGTGGGCGTACCCCGAGTCGTGGTAGCCATCGTCGTTGTAGTAGCCGTCGTCGTAGACGCCGTGATCCTCGTGGTAGCCGCCGTCGTCGTGAGCGTAGTACACTACGTACGCCTGCTCTCTCCCGTGGCCGGAGCGCGCGTGCCTCGGCCCTCTACATGCCCGCTCTCTCTCGGCACGACCATCGCTGCCGTGGCGTCCCGAGGGCCCTNACACTCCAGGAGAAGGAGTAGAGGACGAGGGGGAAGCGGTGCTGCTGCTGCTCGGGGGGGGCTGACGTGGCTGCTCACTTGAGGACGAATCTTCGCCGGCACGAGGGTAGTAGACGTAGTGGATGCCGCCGTCAGACGTACGGCTGTCTTCATACCCCTCAGAGTAGCTGTAGCTGTCTCCGGTGCCCGATTCGACGTAGTGGGCGTACCCCGAGTCGTGGTAGCCATCGTCGTTGTAGTAGCCGTCGTCGTAGACGCCGTGATCCTCGTGGTAGCCGCCGTCGTCGTGAGCGTAGTACACTACGTACGCCTGCTCTCTCCCGTGGCCGGGGAGCGCGCGTGCCTCGGCCCTCTACATGCCCGCTCTCTCTCGGCACGACCATCGCTGCCGTGGCGTCCCGAGGGCCCTCGACCCCCCCGGTGCCGCCCCAGACGACCACCAGGCCCACGTCCACGAAGAGGTCGCGGGGGGGGTGAGGCTTGGCTTCAGCCACCGCCACCATGACTGGTGTGGTGCTGCTGCCCTTCAACTCTCACCCAGCGCCCGCCACCCCGGCCGGCTCCCGACGGCGGTCTTCCTCCTCGCTGGCTCCAGCCGCCGCCACGGCCTCCGCCGCCACCCCCGCGGCGATCCTTGGCGGCTGCTGTCGTGCGCGCCCGCCGCAGATGCTGCTGGTAACGGCATTGCCCGTTCGTGCGCAGTTCGGACTGGTGGTAGCGGCAAAAACCGGTGGGATCTTCGACGCACACGTCACGGTTTCTCTCGCCATCTCGGATTTCACGGTCTTGACCGCCGGCTGCTCCTTGTCCCCCGGATGCCCCCCCATTGCCCCCGCCGCTCCGGCTCGCACCGGACGCGACGAGGGCGAGCTCCGCCTCGCGCCTCTGCTCCTTGCTCCTCTCGCGCTCCATCTCCATGTGGGCGCCCCTCACCACAGTCTCAAGGGCATGCAAAGTCACGACATCGCTCGCTAGCAATATTCCTTTTTGCACGGCATACTATGGGGGAAGGCCGCGCATAACGTCCTTGTTAGCATGTGTTGTGTCTTTGGCAGTTCCTACTGAGGCTAGACGCAATCGACGAGCTTTCGACCTTGCTATGTAATTTTGTGGGGTCTCCGACTCACGCATTTCTAACACCAACCACTCTTGCTCAAGCCTATTCTTCTCAGACTCCTTCTTCTCTTGGTAGAAATTCGTGACGATTTTCCACCCCTGCTGGGGACTCTCACATGCCATGATCAAGTTCTGGATCGGAGGTTACATAATCTTGCTGATGATAGTATTCCACAACTTCAACGACTTGTCCACCACATCAGTCCCGAAGATGCCCCTCAGCTCTGCTAGATCCACACCTCTCTTGCCAACCTTGACATCAGTCATTCCTAATACACCATATTCACCCTCCTCCTGAAAATACGACATCATCTTACTGCGAACAACATCAAACATAATGTACAAATCCTGCTCTTTCTTCACACTTCCAAGCCAAGGGTCTATCTCAGAGCCGGGGTTGACACGAAACGTGCCTGTGTGGGCAAAGCCCATATGTTCAGACATGGCCTCGGCTGTCGCCTTGACCGCTTGCGCCACGATGTCGGCGACGTTGGTGGGATTGTTGAAGGATTGGGATCCCTGGCTGGAGGGTGAAGGTTGGTTGCCGGTGGGCGGTATGTCGGCTGGTGTGGGATGGGGCGACTGCTCGCCGGTGGTGGGTGACTGCTGTTCTGCTGGCAGTGGGGCGCTTTCTGCTCTCTCCTTCGCGATTTGGGCGTCCACCCTTCGTTGAACTTCTTGTTGCAGCTCTTCTTCGCTGAGGGTGGAGAGGTCGATTTCGGAATCCTCCGAGGTGGCCATGATATTGTTGTGGGAGTCTACCGATTGCGTGTGAATGCACAACCCCCCGGTATACTACGACCGCGCGCAGAATCTGAATCTGATTCGCACTAGTGTGAAAGATAAACTACGCGGGGTGCAGCAAGCCCGTGTTGGGCATCTCTTGGGGCAGTGGGTAGTCGGCCGTGTTAGGCCGAGAGAGAGAGGTAGAGATAGTGATGGCGTTGGCGCTGGAGAAAGCGTTGGAGAAGGAAACTTGATTGGAGAGAGACGGCGGTAGCGGTGGAGAGAGCGAAAGCAGTGCGCTACATGCGCGAGCCTTCAACACCGCAACCAAGGCCAAAAGGGTCCCCGTATCTGCATCGGTGGTACCCATCAACATCCGAAAATCCCAACACGTATCCCCTAGGATCCTCACGTCTAGAGACTGCTGCGAGTATATCTAACAAGTGCACAGCAGACTTTCGTAGAAATACACACAGCCTGAAGATTTTTGTTGGTCAACACGGCAGCCCCGTCGACGCTAGTGAAAGAAGCAAAAATAATGTTGTTGCGACGGTTACTCTATCGGGCTTACTACAGTAGAATCCCGCCGCAGTTGTCGATCGCGCTGTTGCGCACACCGCCATCATCCCCTATTGTGTATACCTCCGCAATCCTCCCGTCCAGGGTATTGTTTAGATTTCCGAAGGTAAGCCGCCTGCCATGGTTGTTCAATTAATTTCCTCGCATCCATACCAACGCACATCTTGGCTTGTCCATATAGCGCGACCTGAGAGGTATCTGCACCTGACTGACTCTTGAGACGAAGTAAGCCCGTAGAATATGTCTATATCTTGTAGCTGCGACAAGGGGCGAACTTTTTTTTGTTGTCTCCCATCATTGGACTCTGTTGTCTGCCCCTCTGGCCCCTATCCTCCACTTCTACCAGCTAGACGACCCAACCGGGGTCACATTGGAGGGGGGGTTGGACCCCCTCCTGCGGTTCCTGCCTGAGATGTTTTTATCGCGAGAAGGGTACAGCAATCCCTTCCCTCGCGACTTATGCAGTCGATCAAGTTTACTAACAACGAGCTGAACTGTAGCTTCTAGACTACAGTATTCCGTCTGCGAAAGTAGACACGGCGGATGCCTAGCGTGCCCGGCAGAAGGTCACCCTTCCGTTAGAACGCCTCATCCTCTGGAGCTCTACACATGCTCCTTGGTGTCGAAGAGCATGATGTCGCATCTATCTACAGTCTATCACATAATGGAACATGGCAGAGCGAGGGTGGTGGTAGTCGCCTTCTTCCAGATCTTCCTACCCCCTTTCTTCCCTCGCTGCCTCGGCAAGGTTTTGCGTAGGCATGACCCATAGCGAGGGGTGGGGGGGGGGGGGGG